TTTTTAATTAATAGTAGGTTTGTGGCTCTTTCTAATACCCCTTGATGCTGCTTTCTTGAGTGAAGCAGTATTGCTGTGGAAACTCAGGCTGAAGACTGTGACTGCAGAGCCAGTGGGTGGGTGTGGCTTACACATGCTCCCTTTCTGGGATACTCAGCTCAGTGACATTACTTTCTGGACTCCCTTTCTTGATTTTTTCCTCCTGTGGTGCTATTTCAGCACCACACCTCTAGTCTCTGTGCCTCTAATTTTAAAACCATGGGGGCCAAGGATGGTTTCTCAATTGTATCATTTTTTTTTCTGTTTAGCTGTCTAATTTCGTGCTTTGATATTTTTTTGGTATGGTGAATTTTTGTCCTCTCAGTCATTGTATTTTTATCTCTTTGTTCTCTTTGTCCTTTCTTTCATTTTTCATCATTTTTCTTCTACCTTTTCTCCCTTGTTCCCTTGGCCCTTAAATCTTTATGCACAGCTTTTCTTTTAAGTTGCATTTTTTCTTCCTCTTCTTGCTTAGAAATGGTTGCTCTTGCAGATACATGGAAGGGAGAGGAGAGAGAGGTCAGTATAAAAGTCCTAAAGAAACCAAACCCAGGTCCCACTCCCCACCTTGCTGTTTTGAGAGCATGATACTATCCCTAATACGATCACTTTGCCAAAATCTGTATGAAAGAGCAAAAGAAAATTGTAATTTGTCCAGTTCTCATCCTGTCTCTGGCTCATTGTAGGATCCTAGGCACATTAAATCCCATTTTTAGGCCTCAGGTTCCTGACGATGAAAGAAAAGAGGTTGGATCCCAGTAGTCTTTATGTACCTTGGCATCTGAATGCACGAGTCATGCCTGCCTAGAAAACTGCACAGAGCAGAGTCCCAGGGTCACCAATGTTGCCTTCCTAAGTTGGCCACTGCCATTTCCTTTGCTCCTCTACCTTGAAGGGGTACTTCCAGGCTCTGTGGAGCATCTGGGATTTTAATAGACTTTAACAGGAAAGACAAGGAGTTGTCAAGATGTTAGAGCCCATGGAAGGTAAACAGGAGGTCTCCTCTACCAGCCCAAGGAATGGAAGGACGCAGAATTATGAGGCCAGAGCCTGCTGATGGGTGGAGGAAGCATGGTGGAAGAGATGGTGGGACTGGAATTATGGAAGAAAGTGTTGTCTGGAGGGACCTGGAACTCCAGAGGAGATGGAGTCACTGCCAGAGTTCACACCCAATTCAAAAAGAGGTAGACAAAGCCTGTCCAGTCTCTGAATAGAGTCTCAAGTTTAAGCAGAATCTGGATGGAAAAGAGGGAGCTGAAGGCAAGTAGGCAAATACCTGGCAGGAGCAATTGAAAGGCTCTGTGTCAGATGATTTTTAAACTCCCTTCCATTACTTCCATTCCAGAGGTCATGGGTTTTTTGAGCAAGTCCTGACTTCTGTAGTTGAGATATTAGTTTTGTGTTTTAATAGGTAGCTTTCTTTTTAAGAATTGAAAAAAATGACTTCTATCATTTCAGTGTCTTAGGACAGCACCTATTCATACCTCCCTCCCAAAGTCTGGAGCAGTTACACTTTTTGTTACACATGTTGGGTCAACATTTCTTGAAGGTTATATTCCTGGTAGGCGTTTGAAGATAGGAACATGATTTTATTCTTTCCAATCTGTCTTTATTACCAGGGGACCTCTGGGATTTTGAAGCTGGAATCCAAATACGGGGAACCAGCAGTATTACACAGTTATCAATACTGTTGATTAGAGAAGCTGATCGACAGTCCCCTGTGATCTTGGGCCACTGATTCAGCCTGTGTTTCCTAATTTGTAAGATGGTTTTGTAGTTAGGAGAGGCAAGGTTCTGTAGAGAGACTAGGTTCTGCGATAGTAAGAAATAATCCCCAGAATCTCATTGGCTAAAAGTTTACAAAGGTGTATTTTTCACCTCACATTCCTTGTGAGTCATCTGGGGACATGTCAGTCCTCACTCTGGCCCCTGCTGGTACATCCACTGCCATGTTGAATACTGCCATTCCTCAGGTCAGGAGAGAGCAAACTTCTGTGAGTGGGAGGGTTGGGTTGGTTAGTATGTGTTGGCCCAGGTGTGTCACATACTATATGGATTTACAATTTACCCATGTTTTGCTGTGTATAATGCATAATTTTTTGCCCAAATTTTTGAGGGAAAATAAGGATGTGCATTGTACAGGGGTACAATGATCACATAATCCCATGTATAATGCCCACAAAAACATGGGTATGCATTATATGCAGCAAAATGTGGTATCATCCAGAGCTAGTTACAGGCCTCATATAACTTCAGCTAAGGCTAGAAAATGCCTGGAAGAAAAAAGATTAGGGATATTTGTTGGTTTGCCCTAATGACAGCTGTTGAGAACGATAAAATGCTCAACTTTTCATGATTGTTTTGATTGTTCCATACCTGAGTGTTTAGCATGATGCCTAATGCATAGTAAGTGCTCAGTCAGTAGCAGAATTGTTCTCATTATTGTTATTACTATTCAGCATTTGATTACATTTCCACTTACTTTACACCATCCATTTGCTTAGTACGTGTCTCTTTGTTTTTTCTTCCCGAAAATGCAAAAGTAGACTTAAGTTTTTCCTCTCTTGATGTGTCACAAATTCTTAATGAATGAAATTGAGTTAATGAAGTTTTAGACTCAGTCAGTGACCCTAATCTTTGAAGTTTAGGGTTGACAAACACAGGTGGTTATTGATCAATTTGGGGAGTTATAGCTTGGAATCAGCAATTGCTTTAGAACCATGTTCACTGTGTTAGTTTTCAATTTCAGTGCAACTGACTTTAAGCAGGCTTTCATTTGAGTCAATGCAGAAGCAGTCAATATGTATTATATGTCTATGAAGCCGGTCTCTGGATCAATTGCAATTAGTTTGGAGCAGATTGCATTAAAATATCCAAAATTAATACAGTGAGTATTCTGATGAAACAGAATCGACTGTGACCACACTGTGGTTCTTTTTAGTCTTTTTTAAGTATACTTTACAAACCGTATTTTTTTCCTTGTTCTGTTAACTGCTTTACATTGGCATGTCAACATAGACTTAATCTATTGATCCTTCCCCATTTGTCTTTAAAAAATGTCCCAGAATATGGTACATATCTACTGTGTAAACTTTTCATTCTTTAGGGAGCTTTTACTAAACACCTAAAACTTGAGTTTTCCTTGGTATGTTATGTGATGTGCTATTAAGACTATTGAGACAGTGAACAAGTTCATTTTTGAAATTTTGTGTTTTTAAAATTATTAATGTTCCATTAAGACTTCTAAAAAGCATAGAATTAAGATTAACAAATCACATCCAGTTATACAATATCAAATATATTATGTGAGCATTGCTTACCTGGCAATTTATTTTTATCCCAGTATATTTATTTCTAAAGAAATGCAGGCAATCTCAATATTGAAAACACCATTTCCAATATTAATAAGGATAAAACAGAAAGATATCTTTATGTTTAATCATGTCAAAATTTGAATTTTTTAAAAGTGTGTGTAAATTATGTTTATTTCAGGTCTGAAGGACTTTATTTTTAGAGAAGGTCAGTTTCTGGGAATGAAAAATTATTTGAATAAGGGGACAAAAGGACAAAAGGCAGGGTTTATTCATTTGCATATCTAACTGATATTTTTTGAGTATTCCAAGTGCTGTCACATCTTTATAAAGATACAAAGACTATGAAGACACATTCTCTGTCCTTGACTAGAAACCTGTAAAATAGCAAGGCGCTGGAGCCTCTTTGAAATGGCTATTGTCCAGAAGAGCTCCATGCATCATAGCTTGGAGATTTCAGAATAAAATGTCATTTTAAAAGACAGAGGTGCTAAAAGCTCATGATTTCATCTGGTAAAGTCCTGTGGACCTCAGTTGATGGTTTTTGTGCTTCTGCCTTGGACATCCACCGAGGCTCTTGACAGAAACCACGAGGAGAGTGTCAGGAGGCCTTCCACCACCAGCGCTGTGGTCAGTTGTGTGATTGATGTTTTGGTGTCTTTGTGCATGAGGGGCATTGCCATCCTAGCTCCTGTGAGCAGTGGATCCTCTGCATCGTGACTCATGGGTAGAAATGAGTTTAAACTAAGTGTATTTATTTTTCCTGTTTTTTTCTTTTTTTAAACATTAGACTTATAAATTTGATAGGGAATGCTGTTGATCTTACTGGAGAAAATGCAAAGAATCTATTTGTTCATGTTATTCTGTCCTTTGATTATCTTCTCTCTCCATAGATAAAAACTAATTGATACATAGCAAGATGACTTTCATACACCAGTTTCAGTTTTTAGGAACTAGTTTAATTAATGGTGAAACTTTCAGGTTCCTGAACTCAACTTTGGTGTGTGAAAGATAATCTCATTAAACATGTAATAATTATACCTAGACTCCATTAAAAACTATGGTAAAGAAGTGGATTAGTCTGTGGCCTATTGACCTCAAAGTGTTAAAAAATTTTTTCCTGAGCTACTTATCATTATTAACAATGTTTGTACAGGTACTGAAATAATGCTATGGACTTTTTTTTATCTGGGGTGAGGATGGCAGAGGCATATGCTATGTAATAGAGTCCTTACTGTTTTTAAAAAATAACTTTTTATTTTAAAATACTTACAGACTTACAGAGAGCTGTAAAAATACTGCAAGAGCACTTTGTGTCCTTCTAGCCTCCCCTAATGTTGACATTTTAAATAGTTTTTATACACTGTCAAAACCAGGAGATCAGGACAGATACATTATTGTTAACTAGATGCAGATCTTACTGTTTTCATAGTTTCTTAAAAGTTGCATGCATTTGTATATGTAGTTATCTTTAACATTTTGATTAGAAAAACAATTAAGCATGAAGCATTTTTATACATTTTTTCTTTCATCTAAAATCTGTGTTGCTGATTGCCATTTGAGGGTACCTATAATAAGACTGGCCATATAGGTTGACTGTTATTTCTGTGGTTATTAATGTGTTCTTACCTCTCCCCCCAATTTCTCTAGGCAGTTCAATTAACTTCCAGACGGTGGCTGAACCTTCAGGAATACCAGAGCAAGAAACTGATGGCTGACAATGGAGTGAAAGTTCAAAGATTCTTTGTAGCGGACACTGCAAATGAGGCTCTGGAGGCTGCTGAAAAACTAAGTGAGCTTACACATACAAGTGAAGTACATTGGCCCACATTAGTGAATCCACAGGCAGCTGTTTCCCACCAGTAAAACTGCATTGTTTTCAGTTATACTAACAGTGACAGATACCATAGAGAACTTTTCTTCTCTGCAGTATCTGTCCAAAAAAGCCCAATTAGGTAAACTATTTTTTTATAGGAGAGAGCAGCATATGGGATGTCACCCTATGGTAATTTTCATGAGTTTTTGTTAACGCTTCACCCAGTTCTTACCTGTGGTTTAGTGGCTCAGAGAAATATGGTTGAAGGGTATGGAGTGTCAAAGAGAAGCCAATAGCAGCAGGGTAGTCAGGTAAGGTAGTTGCCATCCTTTTTTAAGTCTCTAAGAACATGGGGAAAGTTCCCCTTGCGTGACTGTGGAGATAAAATGGAATAATGTGTATTTCAAAGTCAAGGTGAATTTGGTTCAGTGTTTTGCCATCCCATTTACCAGCTCTGACTTTACATCAGTGCCTCAGTTTCCTTATCTATAAATCAAGGCTAATGTGTTTATCTCCCAGTGCTAATGTGTTGTATTTCTTTAAGGAAGACTGCATTGATGCTTGGTAGAAAATCTAATCAGTGTCTCTAGGTATAGATTGAAGAATTAGGAGTCAGATTCTACTGTCTGTTTTTCAGTGCACTTTCCTTCTGGTGGCATCCAGACTCTCTTATAGTTGGTCTGGAGTAGCACTGTCTGGGAGAAACATCAATACAATGTGAGTCACACAAACATTTTTAAGTTTTCTAAGTCACCTTAAGAAAACTAAAAAGAAATGTGAGAAATTAATTTTAATAATATATTTTGTGTACCTTGATATATTCAAAATAAGATTTCAACATATAATTAACATAAAATAATTGTCAATGGCATGTTTTACATTCTTTTTTGGCTCTAATCTTCACAAATGCAGTTTACACTTTACAGCTCCAGCACATCTCATTTCACACCAGCCACATGTCATGTGCTTGGGCAGGCACGTGGCTGATGGCCCCCATATTGGATAGCTCAGGTCTGGCCACGAGAAGATTTTGCATGTGCATGTTCTGCCTGCAACCTTGGAGAGCAGGTGTTGCCTGTGAAAAGTGAAGAATAGAGCACCTGCTAACCGACCTTGCCCAGGGTTCAGCCAAGTTGGAGAGTGTGAGGTAGAGGCAGGCTTCCTAGCTCAATTTTCCCATTTTCTGTGTGTTTTTAAAAGTAAGCAGTGAGGTGCTTCAGCTGGTTGCTGTTCTTCTTTTCTCTCCCTTTCAAAGTTCCTTCATATGCTTATACACCATATCCTTCCTGTGTCACATCATTTGAAATGTACATTCACTCTTTCCTTCAATAAGTATTTATTGTTGACCCTGTGTTAGGTACCATGGATATAGCTACGGAAGATAAGCAAGCCCTCTTTCTCCTCAGAACTTACATCATGGAAAGAAACTAATTTCTAATTTTCAGATACTAAATGTAGAATTGAGAGCAACTGATAAATAATGTTTAATTATATTTTTCAGTTACAGTTTATATTTAGTATTACTTGGTATTAGTTAGGTGAGAGAGCCAATATTTTAAGAAATGAAAATTGGTTTCCTTTTCAAAACTTGGTATCAAAACTTTTTTATGGTGGAAAAAATCAGTAAAATTAGCCCTAAACTTGGATAAGTGCTCCTCAGTAACTTGATTATAGATTCAGAAAAGGTTAGTTTTCGAATCTTTTTACATGAAAGGATCATTTTTGTTTTATACTCCTGTGCTGTGGGGATTAGGTAATGAGAGCAAAGAAATGTAAAGTTCATGTTGGTTTTGGTTTTTGTTTTCCCCATTATTTTCTTAAATGTGCTGACATATTAGTGTTCCAGATCCAAGGGTCCTTCTTAAGGGAATTCTGCAGGAGCTGATCCACCCCCTGAGGCACAGCTGGGAGGACTTCTTTTTCAGACTTTCATGGGGCTTTGGACTTAATGAAATAATTGGCTTCTTAGTCATGAATTTGTTTTATAAGCATTTATTTAGTCACTGCTTTGTGGTTGGGCATTGTATACTGTGTTTGTAAGACAGAAAATTTTACTCTGGAGGAATTAGCAAGGTGGCATTTATAGTCCAGGGTGAAGGGAGGGAAGAAACAATGAAGCAAGTTTAAATAAATGAAAATTGAAATTAAAAAATGAAAATAAACTTTCGAAAAAGCCATTTTGGTTTTTGAGGACTGTTTTTTAAGAAAAATGAAACTGGATAAAAGTTTGAAAATGGCATGACACCCCTGTGACAGTCCTTTATATGATATAGCCATGGGAGGGCCTCTCTGTGGTATTGATTAGAACTAAAAGGGAATTAAGAGAATGAATCCAAGGACCTCATTTGGTGAATGCATGAGTAATCCTTCTCTTACTCAGTAAGCATTTACTGTAGAAGAACGATCTCCTCTGGTGCTTGTTGAATAGACGATTTTGATCAGAGGGGAAATTTATAGTATTGGACCATCTCCTCTTCCAATGAACTGAGGTGCTAGTAAATATTATATGAAAGGAAGTGTGCATGTCACTGCGATTGCCTGGAGAAATCAAAATAAGAATCTGGCAAAACTCCACAGTGTTAATGTTTTTGTCACCACAAGATTGATAAGAACCAAGAACACAGTTGCGGTTTTATCAAATAGATTTGAGGTTAAGGTTAAAATCTTGTGTATGTAGATGACACATATATCTTTCTGATTGTCCTTAAAATGGGACCTCTATTTTATAATTATGATATTTTAATGAAAAAAATTACTTAGAAGGATAATGTTTAAAATGCAGTAAGTGCTCTATAAGATTTTATTGCTATCATCATCATCATCATCATCTGCAGCAGCAGCACATAATTTCAGGGGCTTTACTGATGTCAGGATTCAAATTCATAGATAAGTTATAGATATATAATGATCAGTATCTTATTGATCATGCAATAGGATTTATATTTTAATTCAGAAAGTTTATATATGATTTAAATGTATATGCTTATCTTTCTATTTCATATTTGGGTATAGTTTTAAAATAACATGACATTTAATAAAATATTTTGAAAATAGTTGTCGATGTTAGGCATACCTATGCTTTCCAGGAATCTCTGTTTGGGTCTACAGATCTCTTTCTTTGTGTCTGAACCCACATTCCTGGTTGTCTGTTGGCCACCCATTTACGAGTATCTCCATCTCTCCTGGCTCAAATGGAACTGGTTATCTCTGCTTGCTCTAAACCCTCTCTTCCTCTATGTCCCTCTACTTACCCCACTGAGATACCTCTAGATCATCTCTAATGCCTCTCATGTCTGTCATATTCAGTCAGTTGCCAAATCCTGCCATTGTTACTGTAGCATTTTTATTTTGCAGAGCAAGGGAATAAGCAATATAAGTTAAAAACTTGCCAAGTTTCTATAGCTAATAATTGATGAAGATGGGATTTCTACCCAGCCCAATTGGATTTAATCTCCTCCCCAAGCATTTTTCCTCTTTGCTAACTGGTAATGATGTTTTGGGGAGATTTTTATGTGTGAGTCATCATTTTTAAGATGGAAATATATATTAATTAGATGGTTAAATTAAAACTAAAAGCAGCAGCTTCTGTGGAGCAGTTTATAGAAATTGTGTGATCTGCAGATATTTTCTTAATGATTCATTTTGTTGTATCTTTTTGGGCAATAGAACATTTTGCCATATAGTTATGAAAAACTTGTTAATCTGAGCATTTGTTTAAAATGGGTAATGCATATATTTTGTTTCTTAAACACAATTCAGAATGAAAAGAGATTGAGTGACAGCCTTATTTTCTTGCACAGAAAATTGACTTATATCTGATTGAGAGAGTTAATTTGGCTTGGTGAATTAAGGTTTAAATGTGTGGGTAATATTCATTTCTATAACAGTTTGAATGAGCTACCTTTTATAATCACACTTAAAAGAAGGAATTGTTTTTCTTGCCTACAATTTTTCTCAGGAGGTTTATTAATTACATGTGTTCTCCACTGTAGGTTAACTTTAATGTATAAAATCAGTAGATAATTGTGGCATACCCACTGTGTGCATGTATGCATAATTAATCTCGATGTCTCCTTTCAATTCTCTTTAAAGATGAATGAAGGATTGTGTCTCTCACATTATTCAAAAGGCCTGCCTTAAGAGTATTTGCATTAAGCAATATGAAACTTTATTAGGACCTCCACTTTTTAGTTTTTGGAATTGCCACAATTTGTTAATTATTGCATTATGTTGCTATGAACTCTGAACATTTGATTAAGCAAGAAGATTGTATTTCAAAAGTTCAGTTTTATTTTCTGCTGGGAAAGAAATTGAAATATGAGTAGAGAAATTAATATTCTCTGAGCCAATGACCTGTATTTTAAAATAGAGATAAGCTTTTATTAAACTTGCTTACCTTTGGATTACTTTTAGTTATAACATGATTTTATTTGTCAATGTGATAGCTTATTCTATATATATAATCCTATCCTGAAGCCCAGAGAATTACTTAAACCATTAAGGAATTTTATATGAAAAGGGAACTGCCCATTGATTGCTGATTGACATGTACTATTAATCCCAAGACAATAAATGCATCACAAGCCTCCTTGATTGTTGTGGCATTGTCATAACACATTATGTGGTTAGGATCTGGCCAAAAGATCTTATATCCTTTCTGTTGAGATGATGGTCATTATTGTTTTGTAATGACAGTCAAGGATAACATTGGGTTCTGCGTTTCACCACTGCATCAGATGTCTGTTATTTTGAATCTGGGGTCAGGAATGCAAAGAAACGAGTCAGGCAAACACAGGCCATCGGAGGTTGCAGCAGGGTCTGCTTATCAGAAATAATGGTGATATGCCCTCCTCGCGATGGTGTCTGTGGCAAGATCTGGCTCTTCCTGGCTGCTGCTGGCCCCTTTGTTGCTCCCATTTTTTGAGCCTCACTCTCCCACCTCCTTGGTGATTATGTGAACCTCCCAATATCTTTTT